TTTGTTTGTTTGTTTCAGATTTATTTAGCATTAATGCTACAATGTCCATAATATCCATATTACACAGTATATCACAAAATATATTATGTCTTCAAGACTACATATTTTTATACAAAATTTCATTACTATGAATTCTGATTTTCTATGAGATATGTTTTCAATTTCCCTTTTTTTTATTTTATTTTATACATAAATGATTTACCTGCCATAGTCAAAAAATGCAAAATTCAAATTTTCGCCGATGACACTATGATTTATATAAGTACTAAAAATATTCAGTCTGGTATCTCTTATATAAATGAAGACTTGGAGCTTGTCTCAGAATGGTTAGCATCTAACAGACTAAAATTAAATGCAAGTAAAACGAAAGCCTTGTTAATCGGAAAAAAACAATGTACAAATGTTCAACTGAATATTGATGGTGAAAATATTGAATTCGTAGAAAATTTTAAATACCTGGGAGTTTTTGTTGACTCTCGATTAATTTTTGATATTCATTATGAAAAAGTTATAAATAAGATGAGTAGTAAAGTGGGATATTTATCGAGAATTTCTGGATGTCTGAGTTCATATAGCAGAAAAATTATCTATAATACCATCATTCTTCCAAATTTCTTGTACTGTTCGACTATTCTGTATTTAGCAAATAATTCCATTTTTGAAAGACTGCAAATTTTACAAAATAAGTGCATGAGAATAATACTAAATAAAGATAAATATACTCCAATTAGGCAAATGCTTAGCAAATTAAAATGGCTCAATGTAAAAAATTTTATCAAATATCTTGTAATGATATTCATTTATAGAGTAAAAAATAATATATTTCCATCAAGTCTAACTAATTTAACATCATCAAATGTCGACCATCATTTACATAATACCAGAAATAAAGATGACTTCCATTTAATGACCAAAAAGTATAACATATGCTACAAATCTGTATTCCATCAAGGGTTGATTGAATATAATAAATTATACTCGGAGATAAAAGACCAGAAAACTTTGACAAAATTTAAAGTAAAATTGAGAAATCACTTGTTAAATCTACAATTATAGGTTGCCCAGCATTTACATCATACACCATATGGCTTGAATTTACTAGTTCTAAGTTGTTTACAATTGTTCTGTTTATGTAGCCAAATGTGCTAAATAAATCTTTCTACTACTACTACTACTACTACTACTACTAAACTGACACACATCTTGATATCTTTACTTAATTTATCAAATTCGTACAATCCCTTTTGAAATACTGACTTGCTCGTTATATTGCTACTGCAGTTTTGTAAATGAAAGTCTATACTTCCTCTAGTAGAATAATTGTGGCACTCATTGTTCAATACAATAAAATTTTCCAAGTGATTTGGTAGAAGATGATTTTTCAACTTGAATATGAAAATGAAAACCAAGTAGGCTATGAAATTTTTAATATTTAACCATTGTAGTTCTTTCAGAATAAAATTTATTCTAGTATATTTATATACTATACAGGGTTATCCAAATTAAGTGTCCACCATTAGTAACTTTGTTATTAGTGAAAATACAAAGTTGTCTGAATTAGCAAACTAGTAGCATTTTTAACGCTGGTAAAAATGAGAAATAAAAAAAAACAATTGAGAGTCATTATTTTGATTTTTTCAGTAAAATAACATTTTTTTAAATGGAAACCCCTGTATATTATATTTTTTTCTGTTAAAGCATCAAATTTTAAACAAAAAAGCTTACAATAACTTTTCTCCTAGGTTACAAATTGTTGAAGTTATGGCCTCCAATCTGAAACAATTAAATTGTATCGACAAACTTGATTTTCAACATCAACTTATAATCTTACAAAATACAATAAAAATTTTTTTAAAAGAAGATGCTCGAAAACACCACCTTGTTCTTCAATACATTTTTGGGCATGTTTTTCAACTGCTCGAACTGTCTTAAGTATGGTCCTACCATCTATCTGGGTTATCTTTTCCCTAACTGCAGTCTTTAACGCGTCAAGGTTATCGTACCTTCGCTTGTAAATTTGGTTCTTTAAGTAACCCCACAAGAAGTAATCAAGTGGGTTTAGATCTGGTGATCTGGGAGGCCACTGTATTGGGCCATTTGTTCCTATCCACTGATCATTAAAAGTAGTACTTAGAAAATGATAAGTACCTCTGGAGTTGTGGGCAGGTGCGCCATCTTGCTGAAAATGCAGATGATGTCTACTTATAAGATCCAATTCGTCTAAGAAATTAGTCAGAATTTCTGACATAAATTCCACATATCTTTCACCAGTTAGGGTTCCCTCATAAAAGAACGGGCCAACAATTTTTGAACCAATTATACCGCACCAAACGTTGAAACTGAAACGGACTTGTGGGCCTCTTGGATGTACTAACAGAAGATTTTCTCTTAACCAATAATGGTGGTTTTTTCTATTAAACATTCCAGAATTTGAAAAATTTGATTCATCTGTCCATAAAAGGTATTTACATTTTGGCGACAGAAGCTAAGATACCAATGGCAAAAAACAAGTCTTCTCTCTGGATCCCCTGCCAAAAGCGTTTGAACTGGTCGGTACTTATACGGAATAAATTTGTATTTTTTTAAAATCCTTTGAACAGTACCATAACTGAAATTAGAGTCTTTGAGAATATCTGCTATTGAATTCTCACGATAAGCTTCAAAATATCCAATAACTGCAATTTCCGTGGCCTCGCTTATTATGAATTCTTTTTTTGCCCTTGTTTTAGCAAAAACATTTTCGTTGCCCCTAAATTTTCGATAAAGTCTCAGAAAATATCGTTCATACGGTTGAATGCGAGCGGGATATAATTCACTGTAGTATTCTCTTGCTCTCAAGGAGGATTTTCTGCACACTAAATAGCATTCTAACATATCACACTTTTCTTCATGGGAGAACATTTTTCTTTAAATTAATGACACAATAAAGCTTATAAACAAGTATTTACACTAATGTTTGACATTATTTGATTTTATCATTGTTTTCCAAAGCCTTCTAGTTGCGAGTATGTCCAGTTTAACAATTTGTCGCTTATCTTAATGCTGTCAAATCGCGAACGCCATGTTGTTTTCATAGCCGTCTTAATATTATAATACTGCAAATAATTAAAAATATTTATCGTTATTTTGACTTTATTTTTGACTTTAGCGGAAAAGTCATTATAAACTTTTTTGTTTAAAATTTGATGCTTTAACAGAAAAAAATATAATATACAGGAGTTTCCATTTAAAAAAATGTTATTTTACTGAAAAAAATCAAAATAACGACTCTCAATTGTTTTTTTTTTATTTCTCATTTTTACCAGCGTTAAAAATGCTACTAGTTTGCTAATTCAAACAACTTTGTATTTTCACTAATAACAAAGTTACTAATGGTGGACACTTAATTTGGATAACCCTGTATACAATATAACAAATGAGGAAGAATGATAGTGTTGTACACAATTTTTTTAGAATAAACGCTTAGGCTATGCGGAATTCTATAAAAGTAATCAATTTTCGTGGATATTTTCGAAATATGATATTCATAGTGCCCTTCAAATTTTAATTTACTGTTTATGTATATGCCTGAATATTTAAATGGTTCAATTGACACAATTTTTTCATGACTAATTGTGAGATTTATCGTATTTTGATCTAAAGTTTTTCCTATTAGCATATAAAATAACTTCTAGCACTATGCCGTCACTTGAGAGCGGTACATGTAAGTACAGGGGAAAATTGAATTTTCTGTCCAGAAGAGGTCGGAAAAGTTTAAATGATTTTTTACGGCTTTCTTTAGTATCACAGATGCCAACAAAATTTTAAATGTAAAAAATTACAGAAAGGTAACTATAACAATGCCGTACGTTAATTAATTAATTTTTCCGCATAGATAATTTCCTGAAAACTAAAAATTTTTTATGGCTTTCGGCACCATTATTTCCGTACGGTACTAAGTGCATCGTGATTATTTTGTTGGCATCTGTGATACTAAAGAAATGCGTAAAAAATCATTTAGTCTTTCCCGACCCCTTCTGGACAGAAAATTCAATTTTCCCATGTACTTACATGTACCGCTCTCAAGTGACGGCATAGTGCTAGAAGTTACTTTTTCATGTAGTACTATCGTTCTGAGTACGTTTCCTGCTGTATCACATGACCCCTCCATTTTTGCCCACAGCACCCGGTCTAAAACAAACAGTATGTGACAAACACATTTTTTGACATGTTCATAACCTGTGCTCTCTCTCACTCTAATTCGACGGTCGTCTAGCACCATTTGGTGAGCTTTGGCATTTTTTTCGTCAGTAGTTGCGGTTTTTGGACGTCCCGAACATTCATCGTCTCCCAAGCTCTTACGGCCACGTTTAAATTCGTCTACTGTGGTAAACGATGGTGCAGAGTCCCCATACCCAGAATCTAACTCGTCTTTGATTTGCGTAGACGTATTTTCAAAAACAAATATTTAGTGTCAGCTCGATACTAGATTTTGTCCATTTTCACAAAAACACTCATATAAACTCACTGAAAGGACTGTTACATAACAACTGCGCATCCGAAATAGCTGAAACTTTGGTGAGTAACTGTCAACAGATGAACAACGAAAGTCACTAGCTTTTATTAACGAGTGCTGCCATCTTCACGTTGAGGTCGGAAACTATTCAGATCACCCTCGTGTATAGAGCAGGATATACATACACTATATCCCATAAGTATCTTCACAAACATCTAACTTGGATAACACAAATATTAGGATACTATATTGCTTAGTCATATCTACAAAAAACACAAAACACAGCAGTAGATTGACCCATTACATGACCAGGGAGTATTTCTCTAGTATTTGCTAAACTTGTTCAGTTCTTGAGCGTGGTGATATTCTTTGTCTTCTACAAATCACCGTGCACCATTATATAGCTCCAAAAAGTGAAATCATTGCAATTGATACTAAACTTTTACGTTTCAAGACGCCGACGATCAACCAGTGGAATAAGAACAATATTTATCTGTTGTTTCAGAGCAGTGGCACCAAATTGAGCTGACTGATACTCCACTCCAGTATGCCGCACTGATAGAAGACTTAAAACCAGCTACAAAGTAAGTGAGAAAGAATTTTAAGCAGTTCTACAATCCTTTAAATAATAATGCAACCAGATAGGTTGCATAAATTTTTTGACATTAAAACAGATAGCGCAATTAACTAACAGTAAACTCCAGGAGGCATGTGTAAGAAGTGCGGATATACAGGGTGTCCGCAAAGTTGGGGTTTTCCTTTACACGACGTGTAGATCTTGAAAACATAAGCAATTTTTCTTAGTACCATATACACCAATGTCTTAAGGGAACCGAGATAAAGGGCTCTGCAACATCAAAAATATCTGAATACCGTCCTGTAGCCGCGACATCCCCGAGTGGTACTAGGACACTAGCTCAACCCGACGACAGAACTGGGTCGGGGTCAGTGTGACAGGTCAGTATGCAACCTTCAACCGACGGTTACGGTCACGCGTGTAGAGGTAATCGCGTAGACGAGAATCCCTCAACAAACACTAGAGACGTGGCTAGAGAAGTGCAAGTATCAAAAACTAAAGTGTGGCAAACGCTGCGTGAAGAGGGGCTGTATCCGTTTCACGTCCAACGTGTACAAGCCCCTCAACCTGACGATTTTCCAGCAAGAGTGCGGTTTTGTGAGTGGTTGTTGCATCAACATGACAATAACCCGGACTTTTTGAAGTGCATATTGGTGACAGACGAATCTACGTTCACGCGTAATGGGGTTAATAACTTTCGCAACACTCATGTTTGGTCAGTAGAAAATCCGCACGCTGTCCGTCGGGCACATTTTCAACAAACATTTTCGGTGAATGTTTGGGCTGGCATGGTGAACGGTATGCTCATTGCCCAAGTCGATTGGACGGGATGCAATACCTAGACTTTTTACGCAACATTTTGCCTTCCTTGTTTGCCTGCGTCTGCTCGGTAGCGGTATGATTTCGGGCAGAGACGTACTTAGCCCTTCTCGTCAACTGGAGAGTGAGTACTTTTTCCTTTATTTTTTTTTACTTGGTCACCCTCGTTTCACTACACATTACCTTTGTTATTTCAAGGGTAGTTGTTTCTGAAAAGGAAAACCCCAACTTTGCGGACACCCTGTATTGTGCATATTCGCATCCAGAACGCCAAATAATTTCAGCATTGCACTGCTCTGGTGAAGCCTTGTTGCTATATTTTATAGTGACTGGGTAAAACTTCAAAGATGATCAGATGTTAATTATAATTCAAATCATTTGGTTATGTGATAGAGGTTTATTTGAAATTCCTCTTTTTATACAGATACGTATTTCGAGTGTCAGCAGAAGGTGCGGCTGGACGTAGCGCAGCCAGTGACGAGTTGATTGTCAGGACAGAACCTCAAAGGCCTGCTGGACCTCCTCTGCAGGTTTCCGCTAGGGCGATATCCAGTACGGAGGTACTGGTCACGTGGATGCCTCCGGTACCAGAACTGAGAAATGGAGAAATACAGGTAAGAAAATTACAGCGAATAAAAGGACAAACCCTCTTTTAATTTGTCATGAATCGGTACATACAACTTTTATATAGAAATTTTTTTATTACAAATCTGTCAAATTGGCATGCGTTTGTATTTTGCCCAACTCAGCCCGGTTTTTCTGGAAATATTTTTCCTGCACTATGTTCATCGTTATGTTGTGTTTGCTATCGCAAATAAACATGGCGATGACGATGTTCCGCAGACAATCCGCTGTGGATACTAAAAACGTCAGATGCATCTCTTTACAGGCTATGCTACTCGTATACTGGAAATGACCAATTTAAGACGTTTTAAGTGCATACTGAGTGTGATCCTTGTCAAAGCAATACAAATATGTCTACTACGACAGTGATTACCTGCTTTGAAAACTAACTTTTACAGAGCATGGAAACTACCGAATTAATATTTATAAATGTATTTTTTCAACAGGGCTTCAACGTAGGTTACCGCACTGCCTCCCAAATCGCCTACAATTTCACCTCCGTAACTGGTGATGGGGAAGATGGCGGTGAAGCTTTGCTGTCTGGTCTCGCCAAGTACACCAGATATCGATCGTTGTGCAAGCGTTCAATGAAGTTGGAGCTGGTCCACTGTCAGACAGCGTCAATGTCCAAACAATGGAAGACGGTACGTTTCATCTACCCCGTTGTTAGTATCCTGATCTTTTATGGCTTTTATTTATGACAATATAACAGATTGATAAGTATCGTAGTACGTCCTAAGATCGAGTTTTTCTTGTCGAAGAGTTTGACACACATTAATGATAAATTAATGAGTTCGTATCATTATATATGTTACTACACATTAAATAATAGGTGAGTATGTGTCATCGTAAATGAAAAAAAAAATAATGTGACGCCATGAACGCCGTCTCTTGGCCACAGCAAGAACCATCACGTTACCTCGATCGCCAGAAAGAGTTACTGCCAGCGCCATCTATAGCCTACCACTGGAGCTACAGAGTCTAGAATCGCGAGAAGAAGCTTCGATTACTCGTGAACTTTGTGGAACAGATCGAGTACAGGCGATACATGTACTTATAAAAAGGAGACAATTGAGGAAAGACGGTCAATCAGTGAAGAATAGTAAAAAAGTAATAATAAATCAGTTTGTTTATTGATTACGTGTTTGCTTTACAATACGTATATTTTCATTAATAAAAATTGGCTGATTTACTAATTACTAACGAATTTAGTCAGACATCTGCTGGAGAGGCAAGGTTCGCCCTTAATATCTGAGTATCTTATAGGTTTCTTGTAGTTCTCCGGTGGAGGCGAGGTGTTTCAAGTTAGCCTCTCATTTTTAACTGTGTGGAAGTTATCCATAAGAAAATCAAACTTGACATATTTTTCAGTTCCCAGCATGCCACCACAAGATGTGAGATGTGCTGCGCTTACATCTCAGTCTCTTCAAGTTAGCTGGCAACCGCCATCAACAGATCACTCGAATGGTATTGTTCAAGGATATAAGCTTACATATGAGCCTGTTGTGGATGACAACTGGAGAGGTGAGTATCTTTTTTTTAATCTACGCAATGATTATTGCTCAAGACACATGCAACTATTCAAATTTAAAGTGAAAATGTTTAGATTGAATACCGGAATATTTTATGGCAAAGAGACTTGGACAGAGTTGAAAGATGTGGCACAAACGAAAAATGCTGGCTTGATAGTAAGTTGTTAAAAATAAATTTTGAAAAAATAACATTGTTCCTTTCACCTCATACATTAAAAATATGCCATCTTATGAATAATTACAAATAAAACACAGTAAAAATGATATATTCACCATAAATAAAACAAATATGTAAAGTATCTAGGGATTTACATAGATGTACACCTTAGATGGGATGAGTACAATAATATATGTAGCAAAAAAATTATGTATAAAATTATCAAAAATGTACTGGAGCATTGTCAATTGAAAATATTATATTATGCGTTGGTAGAACCCCACTTGAGCTATGGCAAATAGCGTGGGGAGGTAGCTAACACAGCTCACATATCAAAACACAAAAAAGTGTTTTCAAAGTTGTATCACATAAAACTGGAATGTAGTCCAAGTGACCAGTTGTATGAGGAAAGTGGCATTTTAGATATAAGACAATTATTCCTATTCCAAATGTTTGACTGTGCAACACGAAGCTTGTCCCTCAATCGAGGATCCGTTGCATATTTACAATACCAGGAGTAGAATCATATGAAGAAACCCAAACCAACCAACCGTATCTTTATTTAGACGCTCGATGTGACAATCTCCTTCCACAAGATCTGAAACTCATTTACTCCAAATACTCATTTAGAAGAAAAGTGGAATACTATACCTAGAAAGAGAGCTCATGTAATTGTCGATATAAAAAGTCGCTATTAATATGAAACGCCAACCTACTAACATACTAATTGGACTTTTGACGATTTATTATATGATGCTAATAATCCCAAAATTTACCAACATACCTGAGAATGCCAATATCAAACGAATATGACAAATAATCCCGAATATATACTCAATATGGCATAATAAATAAAAAACAATTTATGATCAACAGAAATTGTTTCTACTCTTAATATGTCAGATAATACACTCTTTGAAATTTAATGTAATATCTCAACTTAAATATTTCTTCTTACAAATTATTTTTTATACAGTTGGTCATACCCCCGCACAAGGCCAGCCTTCTGCGGGTTTTTCTCTCACGTTTATTGGTCTAAATATTTTCTTTATGATAATTTATTTGTATTGTAGACAATAACGTTATTATTCACATGTTCATGAAAAAGTTTGACCCAGGAGTTATGATTGCAATAAATATTGTTGAAATTGGACTCATCTTGAAGTTGGACAGGATTTCTGGATACGGGATACCAATTGATATGATTTTGGCTCCAAGGTGAAATCAACGTTTCAAAGCGTACTTCAAAGCCGAATCATCTGCGAAACTCTGACTTGATGAGGATATAGTGGTCGTGATGGATGACAGAAGGGATCTGTAATGCTCTGATGTGACATTCTGCTTATTAACAAAACCGTTCATATCGAATGAGCTTCATCGCTCATATCAGTTGTCGGTTAAAAATCGTTACTTTGGTATTAAGCTGCCAATATTGAATGACGGTTTGTCGGCGACTTTCATGGTCACTAGGAGTTAACTGAATTTGTTATAGCCGCAAATGCAAGTCTTTTTTAAAACAGTACATATTGACGTGCGACGAATACCCAGTTCTTGAGAACGATGTCTGGTAGACGCGTTGTGGGATCGTGCAGCGCTCCAAGATGGATTGGACACGTGCTTAAACAACTAATACTGGGGCCACCTACTGAAATGCGTGCATCAAAAAATGGCGCGCAATTTAAATAAGGCAGTTATACGAGTATATTGGCCACCCTGTATAATCTGGCGTAGACTCGCATGCCAGCCCTGTATATGCTAGCTTCAGAGTTAATTTTCCTTAGAGCAACCTTTATGACTGAACTACATGATTAGTTTCAACAGTAGCGATTTAAGTAGTTTTGTTGACCCAAACTTTGTACGTTTCCGTGGTAGACAGACATCAAGATGCTTATGAATCCCTTGCCCCCTCATCCCTTTTACTGCCCTTTTACGGCCGGACGTCCAATGTTTGCTGGGTCATTTAAACATGAGGACGATGGCTGGTGTGTTACAGGGAACGACGAGATGGAAACTAGGAAGACCACTGCGCTAACGACCGTCATCACTGGATTGAGAAAATTCACAAATTACAGTCTGCAAGTTCTCGCTTTTACCAAGGTGGGAGATGGGTGTTTACCCCGGTTGTATTTTGTCAGACTGAAGAGGACGGTGAGTACTTGATGGAATATGAATAATTATAAGTAACTTATATACAGTTTGCTATTTGTGACACTCCTACTTTTGGGAAAAATGCTCAGACAAGTCAAGTACAATACAGGGTGATCCAAAAATAAGATATTACACTTTGGATTTTTAATTGAAAATCCTCTTTTTAATTTTTAGATTCTCCATGAAGTTTCTGATAACTTTTGTATAATAAGGTTTATACCTATATTCAATCGTTGTGAAGCTATTCGAGTTTATAATAAAATTCTAGAAATTGTGATAATAAGGGAAAGGATTCATGTTCCTCGTAAAAATAATAATCAATATATTTCCCAGAGTAACAAGACTTTAAAATTCAAAAAAAAGACTCGAAGTATTAAAAAAACAAAAGACAGCTTACAGTTTTACACGCACATTAAAGTGATTAATTTGCTATACAGATTTAGGTCAATGTGTGGTAATAAGTGCAGAAAGTGGTGTCCCATGTACCTCCATGCAATAATAAAGATTTTGTTTGGATCTATTCCTCACATTTTCAAGCATGTCTTGAGTTATTTATGTACATTCAGCCGTAATCCATAATCCTGAATGGTATGACTTCGTACTAAAAACTTCACTGTTAAAATGCCCCCAAAGAAAGTAATCCAAAGGATTAGGTTCGGAGATCTCGGCGGCTACTCGAGGGGCCTCGTCTAACGATCAACTGATTCGGGACATGAGTGTCCAAAATATGTTGTACTGGAGCCGCATAGTGCGGCGGTGCCCCATCTTTGTTGGAATTGAATGTAATTTTCATTATACTTAAACATCATTTTTTATCATTTCGGTAATTCGTCGCTGTATTTTCTAACATGTCCATGTACGTCTCGCCCGTCAAGTTTCCACTAATGAAGAAAGGTCCTGCAATATGCCCACACAAGTATTTTGGTAGGATATTGCGAGTATACCGCTCTAAGCAAATGTGGATTCGAGTCACTCCAATATCGACACAATTATTTATATTTACAGCACCATATAAATGGAATGTAGACTCATCCGAGAAACAATATTAAATAACAGATTTGCATTGTTGATTAAACGTTGGGGACTTTAATTCGTAAGACTACAACCTTCTATCAAAATCATCTTCATTAAGCTTATGGGCATGTTTTATCTTGTACGGGGGAAATTTATTGTCTTTCAAAATCCTGTGTACTTTAATTTGAGCGTGTAAATCCTGAAGAAGTAGC